GCGGACGCACGCACACAGGCACAGGGCGCGCGGCTCTCTCGCTCTCTCTCGCTCTCTCTGCTTCTCACACACAAATCCGGGTGGGGAGGACGGTGGCAGGCGCGCCAAACGCAAGTCCTCCCCCCCATCTCGCAACGCTTGTATTGTTGTGCAAATGAGGACACGAATACTCTCCTGCAAGGTGTCCCTTCGTGAAATGCTACTACTGCTAAAATAATAATAATAATAATAATAATAATAATAATAATAATAATAATAATAATAATAATAATAATAATAATAATAATCGCTAGCAGCCTCCACCTCCACCCCGGAATGCAAAGCAGAATCCCCCACTTCCACGTTGCTCGGTCGTCCTATTTCCAGAGAGCCAAGCAGCCATAGTCAGCAGCCAAGGCACCGCTCAAAGTTGAGGGAATTCCGAAAGGCCATCGAGCAAAGCCACTCCTTTATTTATCAGTCCGGAGTCCCACTTAGCAAGTTAGCAAACACACACACACATACACACACACACACCCTGTTTAGAAGGGAGGTGGGGTTGGTTGAGAGCTTCCCCTAGTCCCCCTACCTATTTCTGCTTCAATAACCAGGACCCAGCTTCGCTTCTCTATGTACATCCTTCCAACCGCTCAATATATAAATATATCTCAATATCCCTACGGTTGTGAATATCTGGACGTGTAGATATCAATACAGATAGATAAGTTATCCGTATCTCTCTGTAGGTGTGTGTATAGGCATGTCTAATTTTCAATGAAAAACTCCTCTGTTCCAAGGGGAGGAGGCAAAAGAAAGCAGGTCTTGTGTTTATGAAAAGGTTGGTATTAAAATTAAGATTGGGACTTACAGAATCCAAACATGAGTGGCAAAGGAGAGAAGGATACGCTTAAGTCCTTTCCGCCTAGTTGCAGATGCAAAAATTCTGCCCACTGCTTTGGCCAGTGAAGGCACACACTTGTGACTGTAGGAACACACACACACACACACACACACACACCCCACACCAAGCCAAAACGTAAGCATAGAGGGAGTTCTCAGAGCTGAGCAAAGTTTGTGTGCTTGCCTGTGAGTGTTTACATATTAAAAACCAGGGATTGAAAAGCACGGGATGTAAACAAAGGTAACTTAAGGCAAAGAGGTGGTCACTATGAGTTATTTCGAACCTCTAGTAAATTAATAGTTTCCATTTTACAAGATTTTCCTATTGTTAGTCATACTATACTTTGGATAGGGAAGGGGAATCTAATACAGTATTTTCATTAACCTGTCAGAATCTCTCCTTCCTGCACCCCCCTTGCAAAATTATATTTCCAGACCTGGCAGTTGGGTGTTTCAGTTAAATACACACACAGTTCAAAGACAGTGAGGAGATTATCTGCTCCGACATATCTTTCTACGACTATTCCCCTCCCTCTGTTTGTCCCGGACCCCTATCCTACCAACAGCTCTCTGAAGCGACAAATGAAGTTGTCAGTGGCTAATTTTTTTTAAAAAAACTTTCCTTTTGGCAGAAGGGTGAGAATATTTCCAAAACATTCAAACTTAACTCTCCTGCACAAATTTGAGGGTTTGGCTCATTTAACTCTTATGACATAATTTAATCAGAGTCAGGAAGTTGATTTTTAAGTAATAAACAGATTTGGAGATCGTGGTGGTTAAGGGCTCTACAGGCACCACCGCAATTAAGTCTTGGCACAGGGAAAGAGATTTTTAAAAATAAAATAAAAAGCAGATTAGGAAGGAAGCGTGAAAAATAAAACCACTTTTACTTTGAAAGAAGGCTCTCGATATTAGAACGCTGAAGGCGTTCATTTTGTTTTCAAACGGCGGGAATCACATTCCAGAAACAGGCTGTCTTATGCTAAAATGTAATAGTAATAATAGCAATGAGGATGAAGATGATAAAAAGAATAAGAAGAAATATAGGGATGCAATATTTAAAGAGATGCTGGTGTTCGATGTCGAAAGAAAAGGAACAACATGCAGAGGTTGGCTTTCGTGGTGGGAAATGGCAGAACTGTAAAAGCACTGATACTGTATTTCACAAACTTTCCTTTGGAAGCACGAGGAAGTCAAAACAAGGCCAGCTCTTGCGGGGTAGAGGTACGGGGTGGGGTGGGTGGGGAGGAGAGGCGCGACAAAGCCTAGCAGACCGAGAAGGTGCAAGAAACCAAAAACACAAGAAGCATAATACACATTCCCCCTTTCCAGTGTATCCCCACCATCACCACCTCCACACATGGCGTTCACTTTTCAGCAGACTGGGGAAGAGTGAGATTACTGGAGCGACAGGAACTGGGGTTCCTACCACCCTGCTTTGAATGGAGAGAAGGAACAGAAAAGGAAACAGAAGAAGGGGAACCCGAGAGAGAGAGAGAGAGAGAGAGAGAACACGGTTTGTCTATATGCCCTCTCTTTATCTTTCACTAGCTCGAAGATGACAAAAGAAGAGGCAGCTTCCTTGGTAGGAAGTAAGGGTAGAAGATTCATTAGATGTTTGGTGGAGGCATCATTGATAATAATGATGACGATAATGATGATAATAATAATAATAATAGTCGTAGTGATAACACTAATAATAATAACAACAGCGATCTCTCGGACGAAATCAAGAGATGGAGGGTGGTGGTGGTGGTGATGGGGGGCTCAGAGGAGAGGGAGGGGGCGACCACAGCCTTCCTCCCCCCCTCCTTCCCTCCTTCTCTCCCCCTCCCCGCCCCCCATCTGCTCTGGACAAACACACACACAAGCTGGGGGAGTAGAATAGGGAAGAAATCATATTCACCTTCCCGCCTCATGCCCACTTTGAGGCACTTCTTGAGGCGGCAGTATTGGCACTGGTTGCGGTGGTGCTGGTCGATGGGACAGTTCCGGTTGGCCCGGCAAGTGTACGTTAAGTTCCTGCGGACGCTCCGCTTGAAGAAACTTTTGCAGCCCTCGCAGGTGAACTGCCCGTAGTGTTTGCCGCTGGATTTGTCCCCGCACACCACGCACTCGATGTGCTGCTGCTGCTGCCCGCTCTGGCCGGAGCCCTGCTGCGGCTGGCCCTTGTCGCCCGGCGTGGAGGGGGCACCGGGCTGGTTCGGCGTCTGGGGCGTGTGGGGCGCCGCCGAGGCCCCTTGCTGCGGATCCCGGCCCGGCAGGTGAACTGCCCGTAGTGTTTGCCGCTGGATTTGTCCCCGCACACCACGCACTCGATGTGCTGCTGCTGCTGCCCGCTCTGGCCGGAGCCCTGCTGCGGCTGGCCCTTGTCGCCCGGCGTGGAGGGGGCACCGGGCTGGTTCGGCGTCTGGGGCGTGTGGGGCGCCGCCGAGGCCCCTTGCTGCGGATCCCGGCCCGGCTCGGCTG